GCGTGCTCCACAGTATTATAAAATCTTTTCACTTTCGTTTCAAGTGTAGCAGGGAATGATTAATTCCAGTTTTACTTGTAACTCGTCTAAAACATAACGTAAGGATTCGTCTAATCTGAGACAATTTTTCGTTTCTCGTCGCTAATCGCGGCCTAATGTTAATGCTGAAAAAAAAGAAAAGAAAAGAAGACAAAACAAAACAGTTGGCGCGCGTCGTATGCGTTACAAATTTCTGCAAAATGAAGAACAGCAGGTTAGAGCATCGTAGAGCGGCACAACGAAACGGAGGATAAATATTTCTTCCGTGTGTGTGTGTGCTCGCTCCGGGAGAAAATATTTTTAAAATTCGTCGTATTCCATTTTCTCGCGAGAACCCGCCTCTCCCTGCCCTCGCCCTGGTTCCGCACTGCAGTTCTAGGACAAGAAATCCCGAAAATTATTTATAACAACGCCGCCAGGTTTGATTTGCCCGCGTTACGTAACGCGCGCGTCTCGTAACGGACTCGCTGCACGAAAATTCCGATTCGATACGGACATTGTCCTATAACGTTTGTTTAACGGCCGTCAGTTTCCGTCACGCGTATCCAGCGGGACGCTAAATTAAGCGACGAAGGATAATAAATATGTCGATCTCTGCCTTCCTAGATCGGTCGGTTGCCAAAAGTCTATCTGGCCAAATGCGCGAGGCCCGGGCCGCGGGGCGACTCGATCCTCGACCAGCCGTGAAAAGTTCGCCGGGAATTTATTGAAAGAAGAAACAACAGAGCTTTGAAATAGACGGCGTTTGTTGATGGAAGAGGTGGAATTCTACTCTCGTGAAATTGCTCGACTTTTGTAATTTACGTGCAATAAAATTTCAACTTTGGGAATTTGACTGTTTGGAGGATACAGGTCTTTTATAATTTTGCGAAACCTGGTGTATGAGAAACGAAGAAAGACGGACAGCCACGAGATACGATAATTTGATAAAGACGATCTATGATATTTACGTTGTGCTAATGTTCAGATATTAAATATTGAAACTGTTATAATTTTGTGAAAAGAAACCTAGGTTCATTTCAAAACGAGAAGCCTCTAATTTCAAAATACATCATATTATTTTCTAATATCGTAAATTGTCATAGTATGTAAAAACATTGGGAAAGTTTCTTCGTGATTGAATCTGCAATGGATTTGAAGATTGAAGCCTCACCTTTACAGCAACCACTGAAAACTTGACGTACGACTCTCTTTTATCATTTTATTCAACTTAGTTATTAATTATAAATAGTCAGAAAAATACATTATAAAATAAACGAAACTATAAAGTTTCTGTTAGGCTTAAAAAAACTTGACAAAATTTAAAAAAAAAAAGAAGAACATAAAAGAAGAAGGAAGAACAGAAAATTAGATGTAAAAATCACGTATTACAACTCCCTACTTTAATGTCACTGTATTTCTCAATTCGTTGTTACATTAAATCAATCGTAATATCTATTTGGATCATAACTTGCGGGTAAATAACACTCGTAAATAAATTTCATGAAACAGTGCTATAGTTAAACTTTTTGATTCGTTTACAAACTGTTACTCCATCAACTACGATAAACTTATCTCGGGGTAGGAAGCTTTCACAAGCAGAGAGTATATTGTGTACGCAACTGCTCTTCTCTGTTCCGTAATTTAAACGCGGAAAATTTTGAGCTGCGGTTTCCAGCAGGCTGAGTAACGGGGATTCCAGGTTGGAAAAGTTACTTTGGCCTGTTTAAGCGAATCGAGGCCTGGCCCGTCGTTGAAAAGTGAATAGAGATACGCGTTAATCGGAGTCGGGACGCCTTGCGCGGATTAATTAATCGGTGTTAATTGGTGTTGACGTTTTGGAGAAAAAAGAAAAGAACTCTGTGCGAATTACATGGCCATCTAACCTGAACGGTTAAAAACGACGTCGCGAAACTTACAAGAAGTAAAGTTGATCGATTTAGACTTGATCAGTTCACAAAAAATATGGCTATTCTTTTTCATTAGATTGTAGATTTTTATATATTTATGTAATAAATTATAAGTAGACAAGATCATGCATAAATTATAGAAGAGAATATAATATAATTTGCGTTTGAAGATATATAAAATACGAGTGCATACATGTTGCAATATGTATAATAGAAATATATCTTTCATTTCATTTGAATGTCACTCCTCTATCAGTGTCTGTGAAAATATGAATCTGTGATAAATATCCAAAATATATTTATTATTTTCCGCCGTTGTTACTATGATTTCGTATATCTTGCTTTATTTAAAAGAAATAACAAACTATTACTATTAGAAAAGCGAAAATTAAGTTTCGAAATACATTTATCAAATTCGTGCAATCCGGAAGGTTTCAATTTCGAAACCTTCTAAACAAATGGGGAAAGAGACGAATCGATCGCGTTGCCGAACTTTTAATTGCGACACCGATGTTTGCTTTATCACCGGGAGATTCGAAACTTCGGAACCGATACGTTCTAGTTCTTCCTTGTCTTCTTCGATCACAACGATCTTATCTCGATCGAGATAATTATTGGATCGTCGGATGAACAGAAACTTCGTTCCTTCGTTCTACTCTTAAAAATTCTACCCAAATATCGATCTGAACCTAATCTAAACCCCCTTAAAATTCAATAATCGTCAAAAAAA